GACCTTGAACTTGTGATCCTCCTGCCCCAGCCTCCTAAATTGCTGGGATTACAGGGGTGGCCGCCACACTCAGCCAGTTTTCTGCTTTGTCGTATTTCTCCACGACCATTCCCTCTTCATTAAGCCTAGTAGAAAACTACTCCGATAAAGGCTCCCGTGCTGTGTAAAACTTTTAATTAAACGTGCATGTTTTTCTCTTGTTAATCTGTCTTTTGTTGGAGGGACACAAGCCTTGAACCTAAGACGGGCACAGAGAAAGGTATTTTCCCTCCTCCCCTCATTCCTCTTCAAGGACTCTTCTTCCAGAACAGTCCCCTTTAACTAGCTTCCCTCTCCTTTGTGTTTTCAATCTTTCCCCTCCCCCTTCTCCACTAGCTCCTACTTCCAGGCTGGAAAGCATCTTTAAATTCTCCTTCATTTAAAAAAAGAAGAAACAAACAAACAAAAACATGAAACCACCCCAGCCATCATGCTGTGTACAAAAATACCCCTTGACGGTTGAGGCCCAAGCAGGGGCAGACACACTGGTCTTTCAGGGCCAGGCAGTAAATTTTTTGTGAGCCACGTACGATGTCTGTTGCATATCACTTTGTTTTTCTTTACAACCTGTAAAAAATATAAAAGCCATTTCACAGCTTGTGGACAATATGAAAACAGGCTGCACACCAGATTTGTCCTCTAGGCAATACTTTGCCCATCTCTTGTTTATGGAAACAAGCATTTGCTTCTGAGACAAAGTCGAACATCAGCCCTGCCTCTGCACTGATGCTGGGCAGGGCCACGGGCTTGCTTGGCTGGTAGAATGTTAGCAACTGTGACATGAGAATAAGCCTTGGGTACCTGCCGGTCCAAGAACAATGACAGACATATGGAGCAGACGTGGATACAAGCTCCAGCTTGGAACCGAGCCTGGCTGGGCCCATCTTGGAGCGGCCAAACCTCAGCCTGTGATGTTGTGCAATATTAATTGTTGACTACTTAAAAGTAAACTGTAAAGCGATCCTGGAATTCCAGCAACTCAGGGAGGAGAAGGCAGGAGGATTGCGAGTTTGAGGCCAGCCCGGGTAACTCAGTGACATCCTGTCTCAAAAAATAGTAAGACCTGGAGATGTAGCTCAGCTGCAGCATCTTGACTAGCATGTGTGGGGCCCTGGGCTTGATCTCCAGGATCTTAAAAAATAAATAACTGAACTGCCTAAGGAGGAGAATTCAGTAATTGTAGTTCTTTCTGTTTTGCTCAGGAAAGTCTTACACAGTGTTTCTCTAAGTGTGGTCAGGGACCACCTGCAAGATGTGATCAGAGACAGCTGGGGTGGTTGCTAGGTATCAGTTTCCTAAGCCCTCACCTTGCAGGGAATAATTTAGAATATCTTGGGAGAAAACTTAATAATGTGCATTATTACTAAATTCCCTTGGAAGATGGGAAATTACTGACTTTTTTCCCTTCATTACCAACATGGTGCTGGGTTATTGACCCCAGGGCCACACACACACTAGGCGAGCACTCTACCACCAAGCTGCACTGCCAGTCCTTTGTCTTAGACTTTTTCTGAGGAGTTCTTTGGTTCATTTGGGCAGTATCTGCTTTTGCAGGGCACCAGTTTGGTCTGCATAGATACATGAACTTAATTTAAAACCTGTTACAACTCACTGGGTGTGTAGTGCATGCCTGTATGTAGTGCGTCTCAGGAGGCTGAGGCAGGAGGATCTCAATTTCCAGGTCAGACTCAGCAACTTATTGAGACTGTGTCTCAAAATAGAAAATAAACAGGGCTGGAAAGCTTGGTGTTGAAGTGACCCTCGGGCTCAATCCTTGGTACTGTTAAAAAACAAACAAAAAATTTGTTACAGCTCTGCAAGGTCGCTGTGACTCTCGAGTCTTATAGCTGAGGACACTGAAGCTTAAGGAGATGAGGTCACTCTCCTTGGGTCACATGAGAAGCCAGAAGCAGGGCAGACTCACCCGGTGATTCTTCTGTGCTTGCTTCCTGCTGGCATCCTTAATTTGGTTGACAGCTTTAGACTCACTTGGGTTATATAACTATGCAAATCCACCTATGCAGTCAGCCTTCCAGCCAGAGAGTCCAGGGAAGCAAAAGGGAAAACTAGAGCAAGGGAGGGGGAGGGGGAGGGGGAGGACATGGGCACCGGAAGCTGTGCCGGGGCCTGCAGGGCAGGGCCAGCGCTGGGTCTGCTCCTCAGGCCTGATTGGCTATTTTGGATTCCAGGGAACCTATAGAAAGGAGTTAGGGAGGAGGAAGGGACCTTAGGAAAGCAGGCTTCGGACAGTGGGGTCAAGTGGTCCAACCTGAAGTGCTTTTCTCACCGTGGAGACAGAAACCTTGAAGTTCATGTCAGGATTCTAGTGGGGTGTGCACTTCCCAGCATCCTGGTCTGGAAATGAGGGCTCTTGCCTGGTCCGAGGCAAGCTCCTCCCATCCTGGCTCTGGACCCTCCTGGGCCTCTGAAAGCAGTTGGGCCTTTCAACCTCTAACACTAATCCTGAGGGTCTGCGGGGCTGCAGCTTTCGGTTACAGGGTGTTTGCCCCAAGCCCCAACCTCCCCTCTTCCATGCACATGAGTCCAGCCGGGATGTGTAGGGCTGGCTCAAGGAGCCAAGTGAAACCCGAGGGCAGCCTTTGAACTGCAGCAGCCTGCTCCCCCAGCCCTGCCTCCTGTGCAGGCCTCAGGCCTGTAGCAACAATGCAAAGTTCAAATCTATGGCTACTTGCAAGCCCATTTGGCAGCCATTAGGTGGCCCCTGACCCCCCCCACCCCCGCCCTCTGACATGTGACCCCAGGCCGCCCTCCCTGCCAGAGACTCAGGGTCCTTTCTGAACCAAAAGAAAAATGTATGAGGCCTGTCTGGGGGGGGGGGGAAGAAATGAACTTAAAATACAATCTCTAGTAAATTTTTTTTTTTCTTTTAAGTAATTGGGATAATTGGCTTCAGTCTGAGATAAACAAACAACAAAGCAAATCCTTTAACCTCCTGTTCGGGGCTGTAAAAGGGCCTGCATTTGTATTTCCCCGGTGCTTTTTATGACCTCAGGGCTGGCCTCTCTTTGCCACTGGACTGGGGCCAGCACAAAGCCAGGCTAATCACAGAGCAGTTTCGGAAATGAGGGTCTTGAATGGAATTTCCTCAACACGCCCTCCCCAGTCTGCAGCCTCCTCACTGAGCTTCCCCTTCTGGAAGGCTCCGGGCTCAGCTCTGGACAGGGCAGGAGAACAAAGGACTGTTTCTCTGAGTGTCCCTGGAGCCCACCGAGCCTGGCCTTGTATGAAATTCAATAAAAGCAACTCTTATGCTCCATTCCCTGTCCTGGGGTTGTCAGAAGAAAATAAATCAAGGGCTGTATATTTATGGGGAGTTTACAATGTGTAAATCTCTGTGGAGGGAATAAAAAATTGTATGTTGTGGACAGAAGCCTTGCCCTCAAACAGCGTAATGTTAGGCTGGAATGTTTGGACGAGTCACAGTAAGAGGGGAAAGTCAATCATGGAAATTATTACTTGTGGCAGCAAAGCAATCTTTTTTTTTTTTTTTTTTCAGTACTGGGGAGGAACCCAGGGGTGCTCTATCACTGAGCTACATTCCCACCCCACCCCTGCCCCTACTCCTTTTTAAAAATTTTGAGACAGGGTGTTGCTATTGCTAAGTTGTGGAGGCTGGCCTTGAACTTGCGATCCTCCTGCCTCAGCCTCCTGAGTCATTGGATTTCCAGCACGTTCCACCCCTGGCTCAAGCATTCTTTTGGCAAATAAAAGCTATTGGCTCTGAGTTCAGTCGATGTGAAATACATGTTGGATCAGCCAAGACTGGGGATGGCAAAAGCCCTCCATGGCAGCTTGTCTTCAAAGGGGCTGCCATCAATTCTTGCCTTCCTCTGTATTCATGCCCCTCGCTCTGGGAGGCTGGGAGACTATTTCCCCTCTCCTCTAAGTCTGGACTGGCCTCTGACCACCTTGACAGACAGCGCATGATGGGAGAGAAGCTTGACAGGCACAGGCCTCACCTTTAAGAGGGTGGTAACTCTGCTTCTCGGTTCTTAGAACCCAGCTGGGAGAAAAGTCCCAGGGGTGGACGACCGAGGCTTCAGGACCATTGCCCCAGCTGGGCAACCGGCCCCTGCACTGACTTTCCAGCTCTGTGAGCAAGCCATCTCGAGGGCATCCTCCATCCCCCTCAACCCGCCTCTGACTGTGGGGAGCGGGGATGAGCTGTCCCTGCCAAGCTGGGCCCCAGTTGTAAATGGTAGGCAAATCAGGGACAGTTGCTGCATCTCTGCATCTGCCTTGTTCTCACAGCAAGTCTATGAAGAAGGTTTATCAGCATTATCCCCATTTTGTAGATGAGGAGATGAGGCTGAAGAGGTTAAGTTACTGATCCAAGATCACACGGGTCCTAATGGAGAAGTCGCAGGGTACAGGATGTGTCCTGGGGTTGGGGCATGTACCAATTTGGCGGGAGTAAGGAACATTAATTAGGAAGTTGCATGGTACAAAACAGGAAGATGGATGGGCTGGGATAAGATTAAGGGGGACCCACCTGCTAGGATAAGAAGGTGGCGCTTCATTCAGTAATGGCCGTTTGAAAGTGGTGAGTGGTGGCTTTTGAGCAGAAGTGATGGGCTAAAAAGAACTTAAAAAGAGGTTGGATAGAGGATGGTCTGCAGGGACAAGAGGCTGTAAGCAGCTGGCCCAGCAGAGACCCAGAGTCGGTAGGTGGGAAGTGAAGGGCCTGGGGTGGCAGAAGTGGGAACAGAAAGAGACCGATGGCAAGACTTAAAAACAACAAACAAACAAGCAAACAACAACAAGGAAAGCCCAGCGGCAGGTTCTGACCCGTCAGTAATTTAAAAGGACTTGGACCTGGGCGTCCCCGAGGAGGATGGGCGAAACCTCTCATGAAATTGGAAAGGCAGGAAGGAAAGTCAGCTTGGAGAGGTTTGTGTACTCAACAGTTTTTTCTTTTTCTTTTTGTGCAATTGGAACAGAATCGAGGACATGTTAAGACCAAGGAGCCGGGAAGGAGTGAGGACTTGGAAGTCACAGCCTGGCCCAGGCAGCTTGCAGTCCTGAGTTCTCTCTTGTATGTACAATAGCCGCGGGCACACACACACACACACACACACACACGAATGGGTGCCACACTCATGTGTCCAAACCAGAGAGCAAGTGAAAGGAGTATGTAATAAACAAGAATAAAATGAATGAACTGCCTAAATGTCTGGTACTGAGCATACGCACTGTCGTGAGCTGGGAGAGACCAGTCGGCCCTGCAGCATCCAAAGGAATTAGAGAAGAATCTGACTGTAGAAAAGGAAGATCATCACAGGCGTCACACGCTCTTTGAAACGTGATGTTCAATGACCACCGAGTATCCTACCACACAAGTAACTACAATTGATTAAACTGATCCTCTAGTTTTTTTTTTTTTCAACATGTATGAGGAAGAGAATTTTGGCTATTATAAGTAATGCCAAAATGAAGGTCTCTGTAAATAATTTTTTGGTGTACATCTGATCATTCTTGAAGATAGGTTCCTAGAAATGGAATTAGTGAACTGAAGGGTAAAAAATTTAAAGTATTCTTGATACTCATTGCCAAATTGTATGCTAAAAAAAAAAAAAAATCACCAATTCGCACTTTCCGCCCCGCTGTGTATAAGGGGCCCATCTCACATTAGGCTACAAAGAAAGTCAGTAGAGGCCTTAGAGCTGGGTTTGCTGAATTATCTGTTTTGTACATTAAATCCATGAAGTTAGGTGAAAAGACCTGGGAGTGTTGCTGGCCCCAGGGGCCTAATTTTCTTCTGCACACATTTTTATAACGTTCTGAAATGGTATGCGTACTGCCCGCAGTTTCTTTCTTTCTTTCTCTTTGTTTTGGTAGTGGGAATTGAACCCAGGGCCTATAACCACTGAGCTACATGCCCAGTTTTGTTTTGTTTTTAATTAACGTAAGCTTCCCCGAGCGGCAGGAAAGCCTGAGTGCCTGGATGAAGACTTCCCCAGGGAGCTGGGGGGCAGTGGAGGGTGGTGACCGGCCTCTCCGTGGACCTCGGCAGGGCCTCAGCTGCAGGTAGAGGAGGTCTGATTCACATCCATCACCGACGACGACAGACAAGAGTCACAACGAGGGAAAACCACAGCTCTCAGGGGAGGGAGGCCCGGTCCTCCTGGATTCCAAGTGCTGCTGGGAGAGATCAGGATGGCCATCAGGATGGACGCTGTCGGCTTTGCTGTCCTTCCCTTTGTAGGGGAGTAAAGCTGCTGGCCTCCCAGTTGCGGGGTTTGTGGTTGAGGAGAGGGACGCCGAGACGGGGCTGGAGGGATGGTGGAATTAGGCCTTGGCCCCTGCTTCCTCGGGACCAATGGGGAGCTGCCAGCTCTCAGCGGCCACTGCCCAGCCTCCCCTGAAGCCGGGAGATTAGGGCAATTTAATCCTTTGCTCTCTCCCTTGGCTATTTCCGTAGAGAAGGGGGCTGGGCAGGGCTGTGCGCTGGTTCCCTCAGCAACAGGCCCTGGCCTGGCTCCATTGTGAGGAGGCCCCGCTGGGAAAGGCAGGGGCAGGAAGGGAGGAGATGGCTTTTCCAGGGCCTTCCCTTCTCAGAGGTGGTGGCTGTCAACACCCAGGAGCCCTGGGTTCCAGAGGGGGAGGGGGAGCTTTGGGGACCTCCGCCCCTCCCTGGGAAGGGAAGGCCAGAGAGCGGCCTGTGGGCATGAGTGAGCTCATTGTTTACACGTGGAAAACGCTGCGTTCTCGGGGAGGAGGACCAGGCCAGCCCTTCCATTTGATGGAGCTTGGAGGAGGCCACCAGGCCCTGACAGCCCTGATCCAGCGCGGTGGCCCTCCCTCAGCCTTCTTAGCATTTCTGTTTGCAAAGCCTCTTAAAGGCTTCTGCCCCTAAAGTCCCCTCTCAGTGGTGCCTCTCAGGCCTGCACCTCCCAGGGCGGGCGCTGTCTTTACCTGGCTGTGGTGCTCTCCCCATCTCTCCTCCTCTTGCACATCCCTCCCATCCCCCAAATGAACAGAAATCTCCGTCCTCTTTCCTAATGAAAGTTCTCATGGCCAGGAAAGGGTCGACGGGTTTGCTAAGAGGCTAGCAACCCATGTTGTGCACGGAGGCAAGCGTTGGTCTATAGTCTTCCTGACGCCTTGGTCTTTGAAGACCTGAGCTTCCAGGTCTAAAACAGAGTCTCTGGAAAGGCCATTTTGTGACCACACCCAGTGAGAAAGATGTTAGTATCTTTTACAAACGAGACTTAATTAAGTTCCTTAAAAAGAAAACCAGTGTCTTTTGGAGGGATACATCGCTGTTTTCAGTAATTCCCACAATGCCACTTCCTCAGGGAGTGTTGGTTTAGCCTGGAATATGTCCTGATACTCCGTGTCACACTGAGGAAACTCAGCCACCAGTTTCATGAGGCACCATCTTGTTGTTGAATGCATCACCCACATGAAGGAGACCAATGCCCAGGCCCCTGTAGGACATAGCAAGTAAATCCAAACCCACCTCCTCCAAGGCCTTCTCTCTGCCTCATCTGCCTCATTAAGACCCGGCTTCTTGGTCTGGGGCTGGGGCTCAGTGGTCAAGTGCTTGCCTGGCATGTGTGAGGCACTGGGTTCGATCCTCAGCACCAAATAAGAATAAATAAAGATACTGTGTTTTCACCTACAAATAAGTAAATATTAAACAAACAAACAAACAAACACCAGGCTTCTTTCTCACACAGGGAAAGTGCAGTCCACGCTCCTTGGACTTCATTTTCTACTTCTGTAAAAGAGGACTATTGTGAGGATTAAGGTAAATTATCTGTGCTGGGCTGGGGTTGTCACTCAGAGAGCATGTGCTTAGCATGTGTGAGACTCTGAGTTCAATCACTAGCAACAATGGTGATAATGATAATAATAAGAAGAATGATGATAATAACTTACGTATGTTGAGCAGTGACCACAGTGCCTGCTGCACATTGTACTTGACCTTTTTTCTTTTGTGAATATGCCTATATTATCTCATGTTACCAAGACTCACGATAAAATATTGTATTATCAAGAATCACAATCAGTGCACAAGGATTGTCCACCTCGATCTGCAGACAGAGGGGTGGAAGCACAGGCAGGGTAAGTAATCTGCCCAGGGCCATCCAGCCAGGTAGAGAGTGGAGTCTGGATTTGAACTCCAAGCGCTCATCAGCGCCAACCACAGCCCTTTCCAGAGCACCACCAGCCTCTCGGGCATCGTGACAGTGTTATAAATGGTTCGCCTGCCCTGAGTCCCCAGGGGTTGGTCCTGTGGAGACAAGTCCATTATGTCAATGCGTCTGAAAACTGCTGGAGGCAGCCCTTCAGAGCGTGGCTTTTAATGCCTATTAAGCAGGTGGAGAGAGAACAGATCAATGAAGGCCATGTTTTGCAGCTCCCACTAGGGCGTGCAGTCCTGTCCACACCGCCTGGTTCTCAGGCACTACTGAATGCCGAGGCCTTTGAGGAGATCGGCTTTAGGCAAGGACAGAGGAGGTGGGTTTTCCCATAGAGTGATCTCAGGGGCAGAGGAAGGTTCCTCTGGGTCCCAGTGTCTAACAGGAACAGTGTCTGAAACCCCAGGTTCAGGACTCTTCTTCGGGTCTTAGCTCTGTTCAGAGTCCTCTTTTCAAATGCAGTCGCTTTCACAAGAAGGCACGAGTGATGAGCCATCTTCCCAGACAGCAGCAGAGAACCACGAAGCTGGGGCTGCGGGAGGAGGATAGGGAGGTGGCTCCTGGAAAACACAGACAAGGGGAGACTGGGTTCGCAGGACCATGCTCCTTCCCTCCGTGTCCTGGAAAACAGACCTGACTTGTTTCTCGGTTTCTGCTGGGTTTTCTTGCTCCTTTCTGCTAATTTCTGACCAGGGATGGAGAAGAGGAATGACAGCTAGGGGAGGGGCATAGGTAAGGATGAGAGGTGGGGGTGGACAGGAGGGAAGCTGCCTCAGTCCCAATGAACGCGTGAGCACAGGCCACACGGACACCACATGCCAGATACAGCAGACATATGACACACCACACACACGTCACACCAGTCATATCACACACACATACACCCCCACACCCCACACTACATGCACACATATCCACAAACACACATGTACAAGCCACACAGATCACACCCAACGCTCCACACCTTATCTGCGGTCACACACCCTTGGGCTGTGTAAGAGGACAACAGCGCCACCTGGTGGCAATTTACTCGAAGAGCTTTCCCCACCCCCCACAATAACTCCAGAACAAAAATTGTTATTCTGTACTTATTTACTCTTGTTCCCCACAGTTGTAAGTCCTCCTCTGCCTCCTGACCTTTTCTCAGAAATTGAGCCAAACTGAAAATGCCCTTCTGAGAAGTGGTTTACAATTCCCAGTGGCGCCTCGGGTGAGAGGGACGATACTCAGAACATCTTCTAAACAGAACTCCCTGTGCTCAGCCCCTCAATGCTGTGGCACTAAGCCCATTTGGAAAGGAAGTGCCGAATCCAGGAGGCAGAGAATGGTGAGGAAAAGTCTTGATTTTAGGAACTGATCCTAGCCCCTGTCCCAATTGTACTTTTTTTTTTTTTTTTTTAGCTATAAATGACCAAAACAGAGAACCTTGCATTATCAATATCTATTTCTGCTTTTCTGACCCAAACTTGTGATAATTAAGGGATGCCATCATTTATATCATTGAGTTCCTCCCTGGGCCAGGTCCAGTGTGTGGGAGCCCTGACCCCTGCGGTGACTTCATCCTCCAGGACATGCACACACACTACTGATTTGCTTTTCAACCAGTAACTCAGCCCAGGTCACAGGTGACCTTTGTCTCCCTGCATCAACGCAGTCACAGGGCTCCCCAGGACCAGCTCATGTGTACCACAAGTGGACCTCATAGCCTGGTGCGGTGTAAAGGCCCGGGATAGCCCCTAGTGACGCGTGCAATTAATAACCATGACTGGGGAGAAACACTACGCCTTAAGTGCTTTGAGACTTTTACAAGGACTCACGACAAGGCATCAGCGTTTCCAGCTGGGAGACTTATTTATGAAGGAGTTCAAAGAGTTCTTTCCAAATGTTCATTCTCGAATCCTTGCAACATCCCCCGGAAATGCCTGGCCAGGAACGGGAGCGCTGCTCAGCCATTAATCTGAGAAACATGGCAGCGGAGGTAGGGCAGGGCACAAGCAGTTCCCTGGAGCCTCCCCCAAATCCGGAGCCGGAAAACGAGGTTGCAAACCCCCCGGTACTGCCTGCACCCTATGTCCTAGGTTCAGGGAGACTCCCTGTTTATCCCAAGGCAAAGGAGGCTGGAACCCTGACGAAAGGCTGGGGACTAAGGACTAGCAGAACACAGGAAGCAGCTGGAGGGCAAACATCCTCCCACCTCCTCACCCACCCTTGAACACAGGTGGAATCAGGGTAAAATGGGTATGAAGAGGGTCTCAATTGAGGGAGGACTTAGGCTAGGGATGCAGGGGGACAGCAGTGGGACTTGTGGGACTATGGAGGAGGGGTGGTCTCTGGAGCCTGGTGTTGAGGGGATAAGGGTCAATTCAGGTCTGTGAGGCTCAGATCTTTCCTGGCACGGGCTGCCTTCTTCCCCTTGGCTGCCTGTAAACTGAGGGCTAGGTTGGTTACCTCTCCTTCCTGCTGGGTCAAGTTTCTTAGCCCTGTCTGTGGAGGACCTTTCTAAGTCTCCAGAAGAAAGCCTAAAAAAAAGAAGGTCAAGAAAAAATTTAGCTGGCTAGGTGACACATGCCTGTAATCCCAGCTGTTGGGGAGGCAGAGGCAGGAGGATCACAAGTGCAAGGCCAGCCTCCACAATTATTTAGCAAGACCCCGTTTTAAATTGAAAAGAATAGAAAGGAATGGGAGTAGAGCTCAGTAGTAAAGTGCCCCCTGAGTTCAATGCCCAGTCCTGGGGGTGGGGAAAGAAAAAATAAATTAAAATATATCATCTGCCCATCTGTTAGAAGCAGGGCTTGAGGCCATGTTCCTTCCTAGACAGCCTAGTTCCAGCCTGTTGTTTTTTCTTCTCACCTATTTTAAAGGCTTTTTTTTTCTTTTTTAAAGTTTTGTAATGAAATATTTTAAAACTTACGGAAAAATAGTACAGAAGGTCCCCACATGCCCTCCACTCAGCTTGCACTA